GCATACAAATGAACATTTTAAAAAGTTGTATGCAACGCGTGGCATTCAATTTAAAATCAAATTGCGCGTAGAATTCTGTGCATTTCCGCTCATACCGTCCGCGACAAGCGTAGGATTTTATTATATCAAAGCGTGCGCGCACGACATACATCTAAACGGTTACAGAGTAGGTGGTTTTAATCGAAGTCACGTTTAAAGTTACTGTTGTGTTACCCCTTCTATTGTACCGCCTGCAACCACAGAATATAATCGTTATCGTGAGCGTCCGGTAGATGATTAAACGGTTGAATATACGGTTGAGTGCACAAACAATAGAGATAACTTGTAATTGTGTCTATATGTATGTACAAAATAGAAGGTCGGCCTGTATGTTCTCTATTAACTCCTAAACCCTTTGACTGATCTGAACCAAATTTTACATAATTACCCTCTAGGACCGTGCTGAAAATACAGGCTACATAATATACTCCCTGGATACCCTCCCTCTGATTTCATCTCCTTGTGATAATTTAAATTTAGATGTTCTAGATGTTCTAAAAGCCTGCGAACAATGTCGGGTAGCTAGTAATAAATTGAAATCAACCGCATCGTAGTTATCAAAGTATTAATCAAGAATGCATTATAAATATTAAAAGTAATTGATAGAATATTATATATATATATATAGGATATACTAATTATTATATATTTTATCTCTCATACACGCGATTGTTTTCGCGCATCTGGATTACAACTTAACGTTCCGAGAAGCTATTTGGAAGATTCAACTTTTACGTTACACATCTATTTTATACCTCTTTCAGAAAGTCATATAAAACCGGCATTTTATATATTAAGAAAGAAAACGTTTTTAAGCGTTACAACAATATTTTAAAGTACAAAACCTTACACAAGATTACGCAAGGAGTAATAGCTTAGTCCTAACGTTTTGGCAATGTCATTGTTACGGTATGGTAATCTTAATTATCCGGAAAAAGTCGTAGACTGCAAAGACCTTTCCCTCGCGCTAAATATTCGCTCACGGCTTTTACATAACACGGGCGTTTTCTCGGGCGCAATTAGCGTTTCCCTGTTCGCTCCTGTGTTCGCAGTGAGAAAGAAGAAACCGATTAATGCGAAATTACGAGTTCTCCGTACCAGTAACGCCGTCATAATGATCCCGCGTCGCGGTCGATAACCCAGATATAGCTAAGAAGTGCGCCGTAAACTGACGCTAACACTTCGTTAACGCTATACTAAACGTAGGACACAACCATACTGGCCCTCGCCTTGCCTCTCGCGCTCCCAATCACCGTCTCTCATGCCCTCCTTCGAGGTTACTGTGCGAACATAAGGGCCGGTTGTACGTGCAAAATGACCGACTGAAGCGTGCTGGCACCCGAGGTTGTCGAGGCATCCTAAGTTGTAAGTGTTGCTGCACGTCCGACCAGGGTTAGACAACCGACTCGAGTTACCGAGGAGCGACGCTCAGCTTCGCGTTCACGAGTTAATACATTGTCGCGCGGAAATCGATTTTCGAGGGAGCCGCGCGCGTCTCGGTGAAACGGCTTTTGTTAGTTGGATCAAGTACTAGGAATGACGAATAGCGGTAAACGTATGGGAGAGGTATCGCACTTCCAAATTAGCCGACAAGCTCCTCCGGAGTCGTGAGCGGTGACAACGTGACGATTGTTACGGAAAGCCAGGAGGAGTTGCACGGCGACGTGGAATCGACCGATATGCGTTATATATATATATATATATATATATATATATATATATATATATATATATAT